CAAGAAGAAGGCCGAGAAGCATGAGACAGAGCAGTCACCACACCAAGCCAAAGTGCCCCAACCACCTCAGACGCAAGCCCCTCCAGCACCGGCCCAAGCACAAGCCATCGCGGCCCGGCGCCGCGATGAGGAGCGTGCAGAGGAGCGCCGGCGGGAGGAGGAGACAAGAAGGGAGAACCAGAAGCGCGCCCAGGAAGAAGCCGCGAAGAAGAAGGAGAAGGAGAAAGACAGGGAAAAGGAGAGAGAGCTTAAGGAACACAAGGATTCCAAGGCGAGGCGCTCTGAACAGCAAGAGAGAGTCTCTGCAACAAAAGCTCCGCCCAGCCAACCTCCAATGGTGCCCCCCCCTCCAGCGAAGGCCCCGCCTCAAGCACAGCCGTCACAACTGCCCACGCAACCCCCGACGCTCCCGCCGGCAGCACCACCTATGCAGACCCAGCCAGTGCCACCAACCACTGTACCCCTGAATTCTGTGAATTCCGTTTGGATGGACAACAAGTCTCCAAGTGATTTCATGAGTCAACCCAGTGGCATGTTACAGGAAGAAACGAGTTCCATGCCACTTCCTCCACCACCTTCCATTCCACCACCACCAGCACCAAGCAAGGCAGCTCCCATCAAGCCAAAGGCCATTAGTCCCATGAGCCCCGCACCAGCACAGGACATGGGCGAAAGAGGCGCTGTGCGAGCGCCTCCGGGCATTGACTTGGGACTTCTCCTGACAGGCCCCGCTCCAGGCCTCTCCCCACAACCCGTCCGGCCTCCACCCGGCATTGCCCCCTACGCCCCTGATCCCGGCAGCTTGGCTCCAGCAGAGGCAGCAGCAGTCTCAGCGGTGCAGGGGCTCGGGACGGACAGCTTCTTTGGCGCACCCGGGCTGGACTTTGGCAATTTGGGTGCCATTGGCCTACCACCAGGCATCGGCCCGGGCATGCCAGGGCCAAAACAGCCTCAGGGGCTCCAGCAGCCGGGCTCTTCAAGTTCGGGGATGCAGGACGAGTCTTGGGTGTCTCGTGTAACAGTGTAACACATCATTTAGAGAGCCCTTCGAGAGCGATTGCCAGGACTTCTTCGATTCTTCATTGGATCGCCTGGGCATGTTCAACGAGCCTGGAGCGAACTCCTCTCTTTTCTCTTCACCCTTCGGCATGTTTGGCCCAATTGGAGGTCGCTCAGGGTACCTGTCATGCCTATTCTAGTCCTTCTAGGTTCTAGTCTCTGGTCACTAAGTTGCTCCTGCGGTTTTTTTCGCACAGGTTACGGCGAAAGGACCTCGTCCGACGGCAACGACTTCTTGTCAGACCTGCGATCGGACTCAAGGCGGATGGACGGCTGATGGAGCGACACAGCTGGGCCTACTGCAACTTGGAATTCAATCCGCCGTATTCGCCGGAGCACAGGCACACAAGTGCATGCACAAATACATACATGCGTATCTTATCTTGTGCGCAGCTACAATCAGCTACACATGCGCGCATAAACACACAAACGGACACAGACACACATGCACCTGTGCATGAGCATGCACCTGCAAATGCCCCTGCGCGTGTGTCCCGACATGAAACAGTCGTCGCATGCCGTGCGAATTGCTGATGGTTTCTTGGAAGTCTTGACGCTGATTTGTTTACAGGTACCTAAGACCCTGTTTCTTGGGGACGGAAATGGTTCAGCTACTTGGAGCAAACGAGGCCTACAAAGCGATGTTTGCCGCGTGCTTCTGGCAGTTTGGAGAGTGGCACGTCCAGCTTTCAAGTTGATTGAGAGAATCTGCCGCATGGTACTCTCTACTGGCAGACGCACATGGTGCATGCCAAAAAGGAACCAGTCGAGGTTGTACTGCTTTCCATGTTAAAGTGCGCAGAGTCAGCACATTCACGGCTCCGGCCATAAAGACGGCTAGGTCGGTCCCCTTCACGTGTCGCTTTGCAGGACTCATGCCTGGCCAGATCAAGGTGCCAGCTGCTCAGGCTCACCGGCTTGCTCACTGCACATGTCAGAGTTTGCTGCACCTTGTTGTCTCGGTTTTCAGGGGAAGGCAACCTTCGCTTGGCCGGCAGACTGCTACAGTTCAATTGCTCAAGAAAAGAGCTTGCCTGTGTGATGCCATGATCAAGCTTGGCTTTGGTTCATGATTGGAGCATGTTGGAGCCTGATTTGCCTGCGTGCACTCGTCCATCGCTTGCCGCTGCCTTGCACAGTGCTGGAAGTAGATAAAACTTTTGCTAGCCTGTGGATCATATAGCAGCTTCTCGCGAGGCGGGCTGTTCGGTGTCACATGTGCAGTTGCGATGATGGCATGTACCGATATGAGCCGGCAACGGACGGGACGGGGGCTGCTATTTCAAAAACTCGGGGCTTAAAAGCGCCTGCTCAGGGAAGGTCGTCGCCCGCCTTGGAGATGGCGGCGCAAGGCGCCAACAACGGGAACGGCGCCAGTAGGTGGGCCCCCTTCAGCTTCTGCTTGCGCCGTCAGCGCACCTGTGCTGACCAAGGATTGGAGACATGTCAGAACTCCTCGGACTCTCGAAGCTGCAGGCAACGTTCTTATGTGACCGGCAAGCGAAGCTCGATGGGCGAGAATTCTCCCTCGTGATGAAAATGCTTGCGCGGCATGTTTGCAGAATTGCAGAATACCACGCGGCCGGGTAAGTAAGTCTGAGCCTGATCAGTTAACCAAACCCCTGCAATGCTACAAGCTGTGTTTGCAGCCTGGGTTTGGGCAGGAAGTCCTTCAAAGCCTCGCTGAGGAGCAGGCTCTGTTGGCGCCAGACTTGTGGCTTTGTGGTTTCAAGCACAATATGCACACGGAGAGACAGTGGCACTTGAAGGCCAAAGTCGATGCGACACAGGAGAAGCAGGCTACACCTATGCGTTGCTCGGGAAATACGTTGTGGCACCGTGTGCCCTTGTGTTTCCTTCAACCGCTCTCCAGGACGAGAAGATCTCGGCTGCCAGCACTCGACTCGACACGCTTGAACAAGGCTTGCAGGAGGCCCGTCCTGTGGCGGATGAAAAGTGCCGATACACATTCATTTTGTTGTCTCATTCTTCGCAAGTTTTCGACATGCAATGTTCAGCCTGTTTGTGAAAAGCTCAGTTATGCCAGTTTGTAGGTCACTTTGACCTTGGTCCCGGAACTGCAACGACAGCTTGAGAACATCCAAGAGCAGTGCAAGGTTCGCCCTCTCTTTTGCGGTTGTTCTGAGACGTGACGGCGTTAGTTGGAGGCCGTCGAGGAAGCAACTCGGAAACTTCGAGATCAAGAGGTGCACTGCAGGGCAAAACGAGCCTGCCAAGCCCTTGGGCTGTCATTGCTACATCGCTCAAGCAGGCTCAGCTCTCCAGCCAGTCTGCTCGCGTTGCTCTCTTGGAAAAGCAGGCTGCAGCCTGAGTTTTCAAGGAAACGAGTCCATTCCAAGCCAAGAGAAAATCCATCTTCAAGGCTTCATGCACTGGTGTCCTGGCAGATCTGCGCTCAACTTAGCTAAACCTGAGGTGAACGAGCGCTTGGCCTCCTTGGAGGGAAAGGCTATAATGAGGGGAGTAAGTCCGGGGGTCCTTATCATCATGATTGCAGATTAACTCACGTCTCCCCACATGCGCTGGAGAGGTGAGTGGAATTGAGCTGAAGGAGGAGGAGCGCTATACCGAGGCCAGGCGGCAGCAACTTGAGAATGGGCCAGAGCTTCGGAACGTCAATTAGTTTCTCCCTGTGGAACGAAGACTACGTAAGCCTGCGAATAGCACGAACGTTGCCCGCATTACACATCCTATCGCGAGCAAACCTTACATCGGTCATATGGCCGATCAACCAAAGTCTCTTGGAAGTAAAGCTACATCACCGCACTAGTGTTGCTACGCCAGGGCTCTCAAGGAGGGCATCTTCTGCAAGCTATGACTCTTGCCGTGGTGCATTGGATGTCTCTGTCTTGTTTCGGAAGCAGGTCAAGCTCGCGATCGCTTCCGTCCAGGAGGGTCCGAACCTCGGAGTTCATGGGCACTGCGATGTTGCATCTGCAGCTTGTCTCAGTTTGTCACCAGGATACCGTCACCATCCGTCAATATTTATAGCAACCATGACGACAGTGATATTGGCTTGAATGGCTGTGAGAGCACTCATCACAGCTACCGTGATTATGTGTTGACAAACTGATAGTGAGAAGAGAGAGAGTTAAGATTTTGATGCAGGGATGTGGGTTGCTCTGCGATTTGCCAGGCCAAACACTTCAGGCCGAGGAGATCAAGGCCGCAGAGGCGCTGCCTGGTGCAACGCGTGGCAGTCAAAGCAGAGCTCCTTTTCCCACCAGGCTGCCCGACATGAAGCCCTGCAGGAAGAGCGCCGACGTCAGCAGGAACTGTGGCTCTGAAAGTAGGCACAGAAGCAGTTTTGTGGATGCGAAGTTCGTGACTGCTTGCAGGAAGCAGAGGCCTTGCGTGAAAGCGAGCGGGCACAGCTCGAGGCACAGCTGGCGCAGCAGGCCGCCTGCCTCTGGTAAATCTCCACCCAGCGTAAGCATTGTAAGTAAGCGGTTGTCATTGCAGCCTCGGGGGGCAACGTGGAGCTTGCAATGACCAAGCTGAAGGGGCCGTTTTGGCTCAGCAGGGTTGACTTTCTGTCGCCCCAAGTTCAACGAACGAAGCATGCGCCCTCGGCAGCTTGCGAGGGTTCTCGCCCGGGCCCTAGCCCTCAGGGTGCAAACTTGCGAAGTCTGGTGCAACCTCCTGGTGAGGTGTCGCTGGCATGGCCTCTTTCTGATGCACTCGCAGTTGACCAAGCCCTAACAGAACCTGAGACGCTTGCTCGCATTCAGCGGCTCCCAACCATGCGCCAGCGGCCAGCTGTCTGTCGAGAGGTTGCGTGGAGCTGCCCTCTTCAGCTATGAGGACCGGCGGTCAAAATTCTAGTCAACCACGAATCGCTCATGCCTTCTTTTCCTTGGCGAGGAAAGAGGAAGGCAGTCAACGTTCGAGTCTTTGAATCTTGGCCTTGGCACAAGAAGCTGCTGGTGGTTTGCCTTGTGCGTTGTGTAACTTTAGCGCCCCATTCCAAAGCAGGCGTAGTGCGAGAGCTCTGTGGATCCAAGGTATCCGCCGGTCAAGCGCTCGGACTGGGAGGCCAGGAAATGCATGGGCGCTTTCATTCTTCCAAGGGTAAGCCTGCTCAGAGCAGGGTCAGTCTCAGTGTGCGGATGGGTGCGGTCATTTTCTATCCGCAGACCTTAGGCTACTGAGCTACTGCTCTGGTTGTCATGGGGCATTGGATGCGCGTGTTAGCACGAAGGCCGACTACGTTAGAGACGACATGGCAGACCATGGCCAATGGGAAGCCCAAATGGACTACGATGTAGCGAGGCGCAGTTCAGTGAAGCCCTGCATCACTGCGTGGTCAGCCAGACTCGAGCTTTGCCAGGAAGCAGCGCCGTGATATGCAAAAGCAGGCGCCGCCTCACATCATAGCTCAATTTCGAGTTTCCTTCTGACCTTGCCGCATAGGGAAGGCCTGCCCGTGCCTTTCCCGTGGCCAGGCCAAGAATTCGATGAAAGCAGCGGTCATCGCAGAAGAGGAGTTCGAGGACATCCAAAGGGTCTTGCCTAGTTGGAAGCATGTCGGCGGCATCAGCCGAAAGGCAGTGTGTCAGCTCTAAGAGGACATGCAAAAGAAAGAGTTGGCGCTTCGCGACAAGATGCTGCAGGAGTCTTGTGATAGCACGTGGCCGTGTCAGCCTGAGCGGGAAGTCAGTTGCTCGCAGGCACGCTCCCTGGCCAAGAAGCAGGAGGATGTCATCACGGCTCTCAAGGCCAAGCAAAACTGGCAAGAAGAATCCCTGAAGTGGGTCGAGGAGTCCTGCGGCGGGCCCTGATACAGTTTGATGTGTGCCCTCCCACTTCTGCCACGCCTCTAGGAAGGCATTAGCAAGGATAAGCCATGGGCATTACCAAATGCGGTGCAGGAGGACATCAAGTATGGCAAAGGTGAGATCAAAAAGTTCGAGAAGGAGCTTCGTGAAGATGTCACCTGTGGAGAGGGAGGGGTCTAGAGTTTAGGGATGTTTAGGGGCTTCGGCTTAGGGTTTACATGCGAGATAGTCTGGGAGGCCATAAAGACGGTTGGGCAGAAGATAAAGGAGAAAGAGAAGCGGTGACTCGACAAGACACTGCTTTGTCGTCCTGGAATTTGTGCTGTGTGGGATGCACGCTAAGGATTGAGGCCGTGAAGCACAACCACAGCCCACAAAAGAAGGCGACTCAGGGCGAAATAACTTCACCACAAGGGACCAATTGATAAATTCTTGAATTGCCTGTGTACTCTCTGGCAGGCTGCGTTCTCTGCACAGGAGGTTCAGGACATGGGTCGCCAAACCTATACATATACATATATATATATATATAGCTGCTGTCGAAGAAAGTTTGCCTCGCTGACTGTCCTGCCATCCCGCGAGTGTGCGAGTCGAAGTTCAGCTCCTGCTTTTCACGCACCGGGTCGAATTTGTGGGGCGTTTGTGGTTGCAGGAGATGGCTTCGCGGTTGCAGCGTCTCAAGAAGATTCTTCAAAACAAGAAAGCTGCACTGAAGGCAGCTTTCCGAGATTTCGCACATGTGAAGTCGAAAGTCACACGTACAGGACTGCAGCGCAGGAACCCGATTGATAGGCTGATAGGGATGATGAACTTGGTAGTCACCAGCAAGCTTTGGAGTACCAGTCAGACATGTTCATGTCATCGAAGTTTGCAAGGCAACGCGAAAGAAATTCCAGAATCTGCGAAAGCAGGACGATTGATCGGGCCATTGGATCTCATGGCGGTAAGTTTTCAAAATTCAGTCAGCCACATTCCCAAATCGCAAAGCCAAGGAGCTGAAAGCTGAAAAGAAACTGCAGCAAGAGGAGACAAAGCACCCAGCTTACTTAGTTGAAGAAGGTAGACACGCATTTGCATGCGAGGGCAGGTGTAGACGAGATTGGAAAAGTGTCCAGCCTTAGGCAAGATCAGACTGGCGCGCAGTCTGACGTGCCATAGCTGCAGCCATTCTGAGCATTGCTGAGTCGGGGTACCTGGTCCGATCCGCTTTGATCATTGGCCGCACCATTGCGGTCGTTTACCGAGCTGGTTTTGTTTTTTTCAACAACTGCTTTTCTGTATTCTGGTGCTTCCCTAGTTTGCACGTCCTACTACACGGCACCGGCTTGATTCTGTGATGTGCAGGTGCTATCTTCCATTTGGAACAGATTTGGCTGGTCCTGATGCATCCCGGCATTAAGCCCAACCAAAGCCGTTTGGGCCGAACCAGTGCGGGCCACTGCGGGCCCCCATGACATGATCTGCAAGTGAGCAAGGCATCACGAAAAAAGGGACTTGCTGCACATGGGTACTGAATGCCATACGCACCTCTGTACGCTTGGTACAAGTCGAACTCGCATCATTTTCGAAGGAGGCCGATCGCCAAAAGAAGGAGGAGGAAGCAGAGCAGCGTCGGGCAGATGAGCAAGCTGAGCGACGCAAGCAACAGGAACAGGAGGTGGCCGTTCCGCATCGGAGGTGAGCAGGCGAAGGGTGTGAAATAGGTTGGCTTTGCGACAGGCTCAAGCAGCAAAGGCTGCCAAAGAGGCCAAGGAGGCCAAAGAGGCCCAGGAAGCCAAGGCCTTGTGTCGCCTCTGCCTGTAAGTAGTTTGAAGGGAGTGGTGCTGTAATAGCGGCCAGGAACGTGCAGATGCGGAAGCAGCTGCAGCGGCTGCGAAAGCCGCAGAGGCCTCCGTTGAGGTGCAGGGGGCAGCCTATCCCGTGCCCCTGGCCCTGCACTTACGGACTCTGAGTCTGGTAGGCGGCCGCGGAGCCGGAGGAGAGCACTCAGCCAGTAGCACCCACTGCCTCGAGTAGCGGACCCAGTGCCCTTCCACGCGAAACCGTGCTGATGCGCGCTGTATATGCCTGGATGGCTACGCCTGATGCTACAGGCAATCCTCTGAAGAGACTGAGCGCCGCCCCTCCCCAAGAGCTGTCATGGCAGTCACGTGCTTCTAGCTTGCGCATTGTTATGTCCCCTTGCTCCATCGATAGCGTGGGCGGCATGGCCCGTCAGGCGCAGAGAAACCAGCACAAACTTTGCAAAAAGAAGTTGAAGGAGATCGAAGGTCTCCAGGCAGATGTCACGGGACGGAAGGGCTACTTGTTGACAATGCATGCAGGTGACAGCATGGAGTCAGCTGCAGCCCTTGTCCTCTATCTGCTTCGACACACTGCACAAACCATTGGCTCAAGAAAGAGGATAAGCAGGGACGAACCGTCGGCAAGATTCAGCTCTCCACGAGTAAAAACTAATTGCTCTCGAAATGAATGCATCAGAATCATTAAACGCGGTACATAGTACGTCTTGAGCGATGGATTGCGGTCCTCGTGCAGCCATCGCGGCTTCTGCCGTCGGCCTGTCGGCGACCTGTAGAATGAAGTATTGGCTTTTGAATTTTGTTCGTGCTTGAAGCTTGCGCATTCAGGGAACCTGTCTTCCCCAGCAAGCTGAAAACGTGTGCCGAGGTGAGTGTGATTCTGATGCCACTCGGAGCTAAAGGGTCCATGCCACGGCCGGAACTGTCAAAGTTGTAGGGGCCTTTGGCTGAAACCGGGCCGAGGGCAGGACAAGTAGTGGACGAACATATTTCAGACTCGCCATATCTCGCCATGGGCCAGCAAGTTGTTGGCATTCTTGAGTCAGGAACGGTTACGGCTGGCTGTATTCACCCCTACGTCTACTGCTGCTGCGTCTCCTACTTCGAGTACTACGACTACTTGTACTGACTACCACCACCACCACCACCACCACCACCACCACCACCACCACCATGACTGCTACTGCTACTGCTACTGCTACTGCTACTACTACTACTACTGCTGACACTGCTGCTGCTACTGCTACATGCTCTCCTCCTCTTGTACTTCTACGACTGCTGCTATTTCTACTGCTGCACCACTACCACAACTACCACTACAACTGCCACTGCTACTACCAGTACGACTACCACTACACCACCACTACTACTGCCACCAATACTACCGCCACTACCTGGACTACCACCACTGCTACCTCTATGCTTCACAATACGACGACGACTGCTTCGACTATTGCAACTACTACGACTTTGACGATGACGACTACTCCTGTGCTACTGCTACTGCAGCGACGACTTCGGCGACCATGGCGACGACCACTACCACTGCATACCACTACTGTTGCGGCTAGGACGGAGCTAGCTGGTCAGATGGCTACTATTGCCATATGGCGTCATTGGCTAGGTTTCTTCTTCTGCACCTTGTTGTCTTTCTTTTTCCTTCAGGTCCGTTTCGGCTGGCGGCTGGGACATCCTTGGAAGCAAGGGAACGTGGATGGACACCCAGCAATGCAACCACAGTCGACCGATCCCCGATGGCCGGGAGTTGTTCGAACAGGCCCTTGGACGATACATCATTCAGGACGGCGGCATATACTGTACCAACTAGTTCGGCCACCAATCCACAAATGCATCTTCCGCTATGTACTGCTAGGTTCACACACTATCCAACGATTGCTAGCTGGTACCCGACGACAAGAGCGACGACAGTGTTGCATGCTGAGGTCTGTGCAGCAGGTGGCACGGAGCGACCCTTTACCGGTGTGCACAACCGGAAGATTGCCCGCGATGCAGATGGCGTTTATCGCTGCGCTTGCTGTGGCACGCCTCTGTTTACTCCGATGGAAAAATACGACTCTGGAACGGGTTGGCCGAGCTTTGATGCGCCCGTCGCGGATGCTATAGGATACAGAAAGGACCTCTTGCAGTTTGGGAGCACGGAGGTTCATTGTAGCCAGTGTGGAGCACATCTGGGGCATGTGTTTGATGATGGACCACCGAGCACGGGACTCCGGTATTGCATCAACAGCGTCTGCTTGTGGTTTGATGAGACCTCCTCCGCCGTCGCCACCACGACCTTGCCCTTTGTTCTAAACAGTTATCTTGTATTGCTCCTGCTTGTTGGGTGCTGCGGGAGCTGCTGTGTGCTGTCCAAACATGCCGTCATCGCCGGCCAGCCTGTCTACAACAAGTGGCGTCAGAAGAAGCCTGCAGAGACGACGGTGAGTGCCTGGCCAGCTGAACAAACATTCTGAAAGCATGGCATAGTAGAGTCTGAGTAGAGTTCAGCGGTTCGCTGATTCTAGCTTCGCCGAAATTCTTTGATACTTCTTTTGCGGATATTCGCAGCTTTCTGATTCGATAGACTGTACAGTTGATGTACTTGTTGTGTGGGAGTGGCCAGCCGTGTGCAGACCCGGCTGGGTGTCCGAAGGACAATTTTCTTGCCCGGCTTGTCATGGCTTGTCCCACTTTGCCGCAAAGTGTACAGATGGCATATTATATGGAGAGGCGAGAGCCGAACAACTGACAAAAACTTTCAGCGAGTCTGCCGAGCTTCCCGCTTTCAATGAGTTATGTTCCGGCAGGCACAGCTGACTGCAAAGCAGGCCGGGACGAGAGAGGAGACATCTCTTAGCGCGTAGGTTCGGAAGAAGCTTCTCGTTGTCATGATGATGTTCCACAGTCTCCGCCGTGTGGTGGCTGAGGTAAAGTATTCCCATCTGTCTGACGATCAGAAGGAGAAGCATCGGCCCCAGCTACCAAAGTGAGTTCCATGGGCATATTGCACAGACGGCCGACAGACAGGAGACCTGCGCAGGATTCTCCACAGCATCTAAAGTTCTTAGATGTACGTGCCCAACCAGGATTAAACGCAAAGCAGAGCTGGAGCAGACTGTGACGGAACTGGAACGCTTGGCTGAGGCTCTTGCACGAGTTTCTCGCAGCGCAGGATTAGCCATAGCCTTGCCAGGATCTCGAGCAGGAGGCCCAGAAGCAGGAGGAACAGGAGCAGGACACAGCCCCCGCTTCCGACCTCCATGCACTACGAGCATCCCGCTGCAAGACCTCGTCGTAGTTTATGGTTAAGGACAATCCCAAAGCCCAGCGGAAATCCGATTGCAGCATGGGCAGATTCATTTCAGCCGCTGCACCATTGCCACCGGAGTGGCGGGAAAGCACTAAGCGACCCCGAAGCGGGAGTCGCTGAGGGCGGCTGCCTGCTACGAAGGAGACATCCAAGCAACGACACAGAAGTTTCGCAAATGCAAACGGCAAGACTCAGCAAGCTTCACTTGCATCTTCTAGCGTTCATCGTTAGTGTGCTCGATTGTGGCCTTCAGCCTCCGGGATTTGAGGCAAAAAGAGAGGTCTATCTTCTTGCCGAGTTCTCGCACTGTTCTATTTCGCGACCTCTATGCGTCTGATAGTATCTGAAGTGAGTCGGAGCCTCTGCGCGGTTGCAGACGGTGCAGCAATTACGTGACAGTGTGGCAGGAGCCTGTGGTGGAAGAAGCCCCTGCCCAGGCTGGTGGTTCGAGCCAATCCCATACACGATGCGACGCTCTTTCGTGGTAGCATGTGCATCAAATCGCAACAAGCCAACAAGCCTCCAGCAAATTGACAGCACGGTTTGATCCAGATTCAGGTTGAAGAGGAGGTGGCACCTGCGGTGGAGGTCGATGACTTGAGATGTCGTGGGGGCTGACACTTGGTGCTTGATGTGCTTCACGTATCTTGATGTTGCGTCTGCTAGCTCGCAGGCAGAAGAGGAAAAAGAAATCGAAACCGGCCAAGCTCTGAGAATGACTGGGAGAGGAGGGTTGCTGCATCAATGTCTTCAGCTGCCTTTGCAATGCATGGCGCTTGTATGGAATTCAGGAGAGGCCGAGGAGGTCCAAGAAGAGGAGGCACACACCGAGATGTTTGTGACAAGCCCTTCGCCGCGAATCCCTCCATGCCCCCCTCAGGACCCTGAGGTCGCCGCCGCGCGTCGGGATCCAAGAACTTCTTCGTCGACGCAGTCAACCTGTAGCCTTCAGAGTCCCGAAAATGCCCTAAAATATCAGGATCCCCTTATGCGTGCTAGAATCAGAGACCCCTTTAAAGGATCCCCTTATGCGTGTTAGAATCAGAGACCCCTTTAAAGTCTTCCTGTTCCGTTTTTTCTTGTTCTGCTTCTTACGGACAAGGCGCTGCCGAGGAGGCAGCTGCCGCCGCAGCGGCTGCTGCCGCTGCCCTGGAGGCAGAGAAGCAGGCGACGGGCAAGTACTATAGGGGCCTTATCATAATTACCTATACTATCCTATACTATTTTGGGGATTCCTTATAAAGCTTGTAGTATAATTCAGAATATCCTCTTTGCGGGAAGGGTGGGCCATCAAAGGAGACCTAAAGAACCCTTGAAGGAGCCCTTGGGGGCTCCAACAAGGTACTGTCACCGTACAGTTAATGTACATTGGGGACTCTGACGCTGCAGCTTTTCTCGAATGGAGGCTATACTCCAGGACTGAACAAGCCTGGCATCGCTCCTCCTGCGCAGGCCCTTGAAGAGAAGAAGCAGGTCACGAAGCTCCATGTGTATAGTCTGAGGTGATGCAGAGATATCAAGAGCACAAGGCAGGTCTTGTAGCACTGTGAGGCCTGCCAGAAGCAGAAGAAAAACACCCTCAAGAAGATCAAGGAAATTGATGCAATCGAGGCTGCGATGCCTCCTTGGTTCGAGTCGTAGAGGTGGCGCCTGATGAGTGATGAACCTGGAAGCCAGTGCCTCCCTGCGAGGCGAAAATGGCAGAGAGAGGTCAGACCTTTGCCGAGCTGCTGCCGGAAGTGAAAGAAAAGGCTGCACTCGCGCGAGTTTCTCAACCCTGTGCTATCTGGCGCGGGCAAGCGTCCTGGAAGGTGGGCAGAAAATCCGAGCTCTTGGCTTCGGTGCCTGGCTCATCTGGCTGCTATCCTCCCCCTGAGCCAACGTCCAAAGTCTCTCCTCAGGTGGAAGAAATGGATCGGACCGTCCAGGAGGCTTCGCCTTTCAAGCCAGTGCACAGGAGTTGAGAAAAGAGCCCTGGTACAGAGTTTAGATTGTCAGATCCTTCTTATACAGAAACCTCCAAGTCTTCGCAGAGAGTGCCAGTGCCCGGCATGTCAGATTGACGCCAAGCTGCTGAATCACGGGCAACCAGATTGCAAGATCGAGGCAGAGGCTGTCACCTATGCCTGTTCTTGCACCGGGCCAGCCTTTTCAAGCCGTTCAGCTGGTTCTCTTGATGTTGCCCTCAGCTTCCTTTGCAAGTCAGTTTGGAGCCAAAACCTGAACCTTTTCCGCTCGGTTGCAACAAACGCCAGAACATCGTCAGCTGTGAACCCAAGCCTGAACCCCCGCTCGGTGTACAATCAAAGTTCCAGACCTCGAGGGACTCTCGTCTCGTCAGACTGACATAGGCAGTTGCGCGGCCTTCGTTGTGCCATGTTGTGCCAGCTTAGCGCAGTTTTCGGCCAGGAGCAGGAAGCACCCACCAAGCCGGTCAAAAATGCCAAAAAGGCAGCGAAAGCTGCAGAGCCTGTAAGACCGGTGGAGGCCAAGCTGCTCTCACAGCGCAGGTCTCGTTGTCACCACGTGCAACCGGGCTTCTGCCAGGTGCCGGCACCGGCAGTGGTTCCGGCCCAGCAGAGCGAAGCCGAGGCCGCCGAAGAAGACGCCGGCGCCGGCGATCTACAGGTCCCACGGACCACAAGAAAAGAAGAACCCAACTTCTCGTCTTGTGACAGGCTGCAGACTCGGAGCCTTCCGCACCCCTGCAGAAAGCTGAAGCCACATCCGAAACCGCCGCCGCTTGGCAACATCGGATTCGGCTGATGCGTTGCTATTTCGAGACGGGTCACAGACACGATGCATTCTTGGGGCACTCTTGGTTTCCTCGTCTTTCGCAAAAGGCTGGAGAACAGTCCCCGGGCGATGAAGACGAAGAGGAGGAACGGCATTAAAGTCAAGCTGCGCTGCAGCATGGAAATCCAAACTGCTTAGATACCAGGAACTGGCAGCTGATGTGCTGATTGCACTGCTGTGATCAAGCTGCCCTGGAAGAGGACTCCGCGTCAAAGGGCAAGCCCCGAGCAAAGAGCAAGGCAGCAGCGAAGGCTCGAAATCGTAGGTCGTAGGAGCTCAACATTGCACTCACGTTCATGCCTGGCTCGCCGAAGGCCAAAAAGAAGACTAAGAAGTCGCCGGGCGAGAAGAAGCAGAACGACACTGCAGCTCAGATGCAGGCTTGAGCTATCCAGCAGCGTTGACTCGATGCCTTCGTTTAGGCTGAGATAGACGCTCTGGCAGCGTCGATTGCAAATGATGCCGTCCAGGCCTGGTGCATACCAGGACTGCGAAGCACAATCTGCATCGAATTCTGCTGAGAGGCTGACAAGAAGAAAGGCTTATTCGGGCACGCGCCCCAGGTTGTTGATTAAACCGCTGAGATTGGCACAGGATGCCAAATTTCGGTAATTGACCTTGGCAGGATCTTGGGCAATTGGGGGCTGAGCTAAGCCGCCCTCACCTAGGGCTGGGCCGGGATACCAGGCCAGAACCTGGAGTCTGGAGAGCGTGACATGACGCGCAAATGATGTTTGTGCAACTTATATGCATGTCTAGGAAGCATGCATGTCTGCTCAAGTAAGCTCGCATACAAACCAGCACATGGCGATGAACACATGTACATCTGAATGGTCCCCGCAGGAACGTTGGAATCGGTTTATCGCTCTTTCAAGCAAGCGCCCCAGCAGATCAGCATGCACCGTTCGTCAAGGGCGCTGAAATGGTGATCCTGCTTCTTGAGGTTGCTCAAAGCACGACTATGCCGCATGGGTACGTGTCGCAGTTTTGAAAGCGCTAAACGAGATGGTAGCATTAGCAGCCCTCTTTGGTGAAGCTGCTATGTGCTGCCTCGGATGACGGAAATCAGTTCGAGAAACGGATCATGGCAAAGTTGAGAATGCCTAGTGGCCTAGTGCTTAGTTACTTCTGATTCTTGTTGCTAGTCTTTCCTTGGATGTCCTGCTACGGCAGGGCATTGTTTGCAGCTTCAGGCGACGAAATGCCCTGGTCTTTCGCGGTTGTTTGACCTAGTTCTTAAGCTACCTAGCGGACCTATCGCACTGGCGATTGCTTATGCCAGAGCCTAGCTGACACACCATCCACTTGAGGCTTGGGGCATCTTAGAAACGGTAGTGTGGAGCTGAAGCTCCCAGCACCAATAGGGTGCGATTCAACCTTTGCTGAGTGGGCTCTTGGCCCATCTTTTCACTGATGCCCCACGTGCTCCTCCTTTCTCCGAGGAGCTCAGATTAGCTTTGCACCAGGGTTATTGCGGGATGGCGTGGGAACTGCAAAGAAGACAGGATCGTTTTCGCTGGATCCGGGGCTGCTTTGCTCCCCATGGATCCGGTTTGGCAGAAGGCCTCTGTCGGAGTGCCGTCCAAGAAACAACTCAAGCCGAGCGACGAAGCATTGCCAGAATGGTGTCCGTTTGCCAATTTGATTCGTTTGCCTGTGGCTGTCCGTGTCATGCAGCAACAGCATTGCCGAGCTGTTGGGTGTGGAATCTTGGAGATCTGTCGGCTCGAGCCAGCAAAGCAAGAACTCGTTACACAACGCTGTAGTGGATGCCTACGATAGCGCAAGCTTTCTGAAACAAAGAAGCAGCAGAAACCATGCGGTGACGCTTGGAATGCCGAGATCCGATGTGAAGAATCCGATTGGCAAGGCCTGGTTTCAAGCACAGGGCGATTGCCCCAAACCTCCTCGACGTTTGCTGTCTGCATGCTGAGAGGTGCCATGTCGACGGTCGCAACGGTGACCGTGCTGACAGTCACAAGTTACAAGTTCCAAGTGGAGGAGGTACTTGTCTGCCTTTGTACAGGTGGGTGCTGCGAGTGGGGTCAAGCTGGCCAGCAGCCAAGAGGCTGGTCACGCCACGGCTCTACGAGGCTGCAAGCTTTAAGCTTGCAAGCTCCTCTGCTACCGCAGGTGCGAGTAAAGCCTGCAACGACCGAAGAGGTGGAGGTCTCCACGGAGTTCGGATTGACTGTTATATTATGTTATATTATACTATAGTTATTGCAAGCTCTGACAGTTTGGCCAAAGAGGCCTTCGTGCTCCAGAACAAGCGCTGGCTGCCGGATGACGCAGAGAAGGCAGGGGACGGTGGATTTAACTCAGGCTTTGGGACCAGAGAAGTCAACTCTAGGGTTCGGGGGTATATTAGTATATTTCATTATTATAATAAATAAGGAATCCCAAGCGGTACATTAGTATTATACTATTATACTAAGAAATCCCCAAAATAGTATAGGCAATTGTTAAGTTAAGGCCCCTGTATTACTCTAGACTTGAGGTGCTGCGGAGCATGAACGCTGCGGATCAGAGGAGAGCCTGGACCCTTGGAGACGCCCGCATGGCAACAGTCACCCCTTTGCTGGCCAAGGTCATATGCGCCGGAAGCATGTCAAGTGTGCAGAACCCGATAGCAGTTCTCCAGGCGAGCTTCGATTCTGCCGCGCCTCACAGTTTGCTTTACGTACCTTTCCTCGAGAGGCACGGGTACGTAAGGCGAAGGATTTGGAGGCCAGGCTGAAGCAACGACTTCGGACTGCGCACATTCTTGCCCTTGAGGAGGCTGCAGCCCGAAGTGGTGGTGCCATCCCAGTCCGCGCTCTTGGAGTTAGACCTCGCTGTCTCTAGCCCTAGTGCTGTACCCCTCTCTGCACGCTTCAGTTGAAGCGGCCTTTCCTGTGTCCATCCTTTGCCCTGCGCCTCTGAAGGCAGCCCTCCTCGGACTCGAGAGCAAGCTCGCAAAGCTCGTTCCTCGGACAACTCGCAGTCTGGACTGCAATTCGCCACCATTCCCGTGCCACACCCAGGCCATCATAAGATCATGTTCCTGTGAAGTATATCACTGCCTATGGTAAGCGGCATAAATTGGTAGGGCGGGCTGCTACTGTAGACGTTTCCCTTGTCCAGAGTGATGGAATGGTGTTCGGAAAGCTGATTCCGGCGCTTTGATGCAAACTCAAGGCCTGCGTCTTCAGAGGCAGAGCCTGGGAGCATCATCGATGTGCACGGGGAAGGGCTATAGCACGACCACCCCCTCGAATAGGTGGTTGGTGGGGGGACGTGAGTAGGATTCCCACCTATTCTTCCTGGGGACGCGCCACCTATTTTTCCACCGTGGGGGGGTTTGAGAAAATAGGTGGCGATCGATAGGTTTGGAGGGCTTAGATCGGAGTTCGTGGCTGTCCGGGATCGCGGTAAGAATAGGTGGTTGGATGGGGAGGAGTCTGGGTTTCGTGTAGCAGAGGCCGCACAAACCGTAGGGTTCCCCCCCTCCGATCCACCCATATATTGTTCTGTGTGCCTGTTATCCGCAGCAACACGAGTAACTAACAAGAAACTCCAGACTTCGATTGGACCATGCTCGGATCCGTGTAGTATCTAGTAGTGCCATGGTAGGCAGGTAGGTTGGTAGGTAGAGTACAGGATACAGACTACACAGACCATGAGAAAATGGGTGGCGCCTACAGGGGTGAGTCTGGGTTTCGTCTAGCCGAGGCACACAAACCGTATGGTCGCCCCCCTCGGATCCACCCATATACTGCTATGTGCCTGTTATCTACAGTCACAAAGGACTCCAGACTTCCATTGGACCGGGGGTAGCCGCTGTAATATCCAGTAGGGGCCATGGTAAGTAGGTTGGTGGGTAGAACATTGGATACATACCACGATAAATTAAGTGGCTGCCACAGGGGGGAGTTTGGGTTCCCAGCGAACAAAGGGTTTGACAGTGGAAAGAAGTGTGTCCAGCACCGTGGTCAGACCCCCCCTGCAGTCCCCAGACCCGGAAATAGGTGGCCCACCTATTAGGGGGGACCCCCCACCTCCCCACCCCCGCGAAGGGGTGGTGCTGCTATAGCTGGTATGTATAGTTATTGGAGAGCTGGTAAGCCGAAGTTTTCGTAAATTATTCAGGACTTCAGCATTTGACTTTGATTCAAAAGGCGCCGGCTGCCGATCTGCCAGGAGTTGGAAGCGTTCGTGAAGTCCAATGACCGGTGGCTCGAAGGAGAGGCCTGAGACTTCCACGAGAGCCCGAACAGGTTGAATCCTGACTCTAGCCATCTCTAGCCGCAGTGACGGAAGCTTTGCCGGCAATCCGGTAGGCAGTGGAACTCCTCCGAGCCATGAGCCCGGCTAGCAGCTCAGCTTCACACTCTCAGAAGGACCTCACCCTCCGCGAGAGCACAGGTCGACCAGCGCAGGGTCATCTCAGCAGGGACGATGTCAGGCAGGGACACGGCAAGGACTTGACAAGACACGAGACCTGTCTCCGAGTCTCGGAGGCTGTCGAGACCCTGTGGCTGTCATCCAGACCCGGGTCAAGAAGGTGCTCTCATGTCAATGTGATGGCATCACGCGCCGGTACGGATGATCTCGGATGCGAGTGCGAGGCGCGGGAGATGGAATTGGAGCTGGAGGTGGGCAAAAACCCAATGCTGCACGAAATAGTTTTGGTATGGGTGTTCAGAAATGAAGTGAAGGACTGCTCTTCTGCACGGGATGCAACTTGCAGCATATTCGAGACACTCTCACTCTGGCAGAACCTGGCGGCTGGCAAGAAGCCCCTGCTGCACGACGAGAAGCCCGGTCCTGCGACGCAAAGCTTTCGTGAGGCCTTTGGAAAGCGGCCTCTAATGTCTTGTGAGTCTTGTGTGTCGAGTCGAGTTTCGAATTCAGCCACAGGAAGAAGCAGCTGCGCACCTCTACGCCCCGCCGGAGGATGCGCAGAGACTGGAGGGCACTTGCCTATTGATCAACAACACAAGCAGACACAGGAAGTTGGCGCCACGGAGTCGAAGTTTGCATCATCTGTGGATTCAGCAAAGGCCTCAGTTGGCTCATACTCCTAGAAACCTCTCAGCAGCTGCAAGAGGGACCAGACAGCCGTTCACTGCGCTTGTAGTTGTAATTTCAATTACGCATAATTCGCAGCAGCGTGGTTACGATGTTCAGGAAGTGATTCGGCATCAAGTGGTTCCGGCTATCATAACTTGTCTTTTCTTTCGAGGAACCTCCTATTCTGGGTCAGCTGGGCAGGCTTGTGTGCATCCAAGACGTTCGTGCTCTGCAGAGTTCCGTGGTATGCGCGCATTCCGTGGTCGTGTTCTGTCCTCTAGATGAGTCTGAAAGTTATCTACTGTATCCATCCACCGCCTGTTGTTGAGTGTTGTAGAACTCGCCCATCATATTTCCAGTCCTGCACTGTACTTTGCAGGGGCTCTTTCGTGCAGACCGATAGTTGAAGCTACGTCCACAACTCGAGAATTTCCCCAACAAAAACCCTAAACCCGAAACCCGAAGTTGCTCAAGGTCCAAAAAGCTGTTGGGCCACTTGCGTGGGATGACACGTGGCATGTTAGGCCAGGTGTACAGGTGTACTGCACATGATAATTTGGTCGGGCAAGGACTGCCTCCGAAAACAGGCCTTGTTTGCTGACAGCCGTTCGGGGAGTGTGCTTAATTATAAGTTAGGTCCAGTCAGGTTGGGTTTCTGTTCTCTTCTTACGCATTTCGGCGGGTGCAAGCGTGTGATGGCAGATAATCCGCCATGCTACTTCGACGAACTGGAGCTGGCACGAACGGCCACAAGAGCTCAGATCAAGAAAGCCTATCACAGAAAGGCTCTGTATCATCACCATGACAAGGTGGCACACAGAAATTTCTCTGAGGAGCAGATGCAGCAACACAAGGCTGCCTACGAGCGGGCACGTGCAGCCTTTGATTTCCTGATCAACGAGGAAAAGCGGAGCCAGTACCTCCAGTCCCTCGAGCAAAGTCCAGAAAATCGCGACGGCATGGATGCTGCGTCAGTTCCCGAGCCAGACATGGTGCCGGAGCTGTCGGACGGCTTCAAAAAATTGAGCCTGCGATCGTTGAGGGTGAGGCTACAGCAGACTCAGCCAAAAGACTTGGAGACGGTGCTGCGAGGCCTCAAGATCCCCGTGCTCCGGGCGTTGAGCAGATTCCTGGACAAGTCGCAGTGTTCCCAGGCCAACGAGACGAATGAAGGCAGAAGGGAGGTCAGAAGCTTCATGTGCTGCAACATCAAGATCGAAGTTCGGGTGCAGGACTCTGGTGACCCGGACTTCTTAGCTAAATTGGATGCGTGGGAGATTGAGCTGAAGAGCAGGGTGAAAGCGGCAAGGCGCCAAATGCACGATGCCATCCAAGTCATCAGAGAGTCCATCAAGCAGCTGGAGCAGGAAGAGTTCCAAGGCTGGCCACTTCCCGTGTCTTACGAGAACCATAGCGGCTGCAGGCTGCCACAGGTCCAAAGCTTCGAGCTCATGTTGCGCTACCGGGTAAAGGCCGTCGCTGCAAAAGAGCGACAGATCTCCGCGAAAGACCCCAAGATGGCCAAACTGAAGACTGACATGAGCAAGGAGAAGGAACTATCGCCACAGAAGGAGTCGCGCGTCCTCGAGGCCGTGAACAAGGAGCTTCGGTTGCGTCCGTCGAGCGACGACGCGCCGGAGCCGGGCGGCAGCCCGCTTCTTCTGGAAGTCGTTCTCGGCAACCAAATTCCCGGGCCTGGTCAAGCCGCGGTGCCGGTGGCAGAGGCTCCTAAAGGGATGCTGCTGGTGGGACTGCCAGACAGTGGGAAGACGTTCGCCATGAAGAAGATCATGGAGGTGATGGCTATGGTCCCCAGCATGCGCCACATCGTTGTGTTCGACGTCAAGGGAGATTGGGTACAGACGGCACGACGTGCGACACACCTGGCTGAGGATGCGACTGCTGCCTGCCATTTCGAGGATGAGTGCGATGTGAGAGTGTACACGTTCGCGTCAGATCTGCTGCGTAGAGCGACGTTAAGCCCGTTCCCCTTCGAGATTGGCCGTAAGCCTGCAGAAGCGGAGCGGACAAATCTGAGATGCTGGACCGTGTGCCTGAAGCAGTTCGTGTTCGATGTCCTTGTGACATCAGGAGTGGTGCACAAGAATTGGTGCAAATTTAACAGCTACAGTTCCACACATCTTCTCCTACACCAATTACCGTCCATGAAGGCTTTCCGTGGGCTCGCTGGAGGTGTACCCGCTTCCGACAAAGAGAAGTTTGGTGACGCTCTCCTCCGTGTTGCTGAGCAGGCATGCACTTGGAAAATCGAGCTCACTGAGCAGCTGCCAGCGAGCTATGTTGAGTTTGCTGACATGCTCCAGGAGTTCGCAAACAACCACAACTTCCTGCCTCTCAGCCGATTGGACGTGCGTGCCGTGGCTGATCATCTCAAGTTCTTTGCCAACGACTTGCGCTTCTCGCTTGTGTATTGCCCACGCCGTGGCGACCCCAGTACGAATGTGCAGGGAGACGTTTATGCCCTAGGTGAGCAGACGCTATTTCGATCATCGCCAGTGTCTGGCAAGCGCGTCATGATCAACATCGTCAGCCTGATCAATTTGGAGCTTGACGAAAGACGCCGAGTTGTTCAGTCAGTCCTTACGCGCGTGGAGCGCTGGGGCGAAGAGTCCGGTGGAACGCAGTCGCGCCCTCGGACCTTGGTGGTGCTGGATGAGGCCCACGAGGCTTTGCCTAGGGTCGGAGACAACAGTGCAACCGGCATGGTAGCCCTTCTGCTGCGAAAGATGCGCTCTCACGGTGTGTGCGTCCTGCTGGGGACGCAGCAAGCCAAAGACCTGGACTTATCGATCTTGGACTACATCCAAGGCCCGCGCTTTTGTGGCCGACTGAGTGGCCGTCAAGCAGCGCATCGAGAAGTCCTCGAGAAGGTGTTTCATGCCCCTGCCAAGCGGAAGAAGGAATATCAGACCATGGTCGCGGAGGCCGGCAAGTATGAGTTCGTTTACTGCACCGGGGCCAGCGAGGAGGGTGAAATCGAGGGTCCGGCGAAGAAGATGAAGTTCGGATCCTTAAGCCGTCTCCACGAGGATGCTGGGCCATGGACAGGTGACGAGTCGCGACTCAACCACCCCATGCAGCAGTTGCACGATCTCTTCCACGGCCGGCAGATTGAGAACCAGCCAGATGACACCGAGGAGACTTTGGGAGCCTTGGATCGAGACCAGCGTGCATTCATGCTGGCCGACCGTGCCGATGAGGCACTCGGACCTCTGGGCGCCACCTCCGCTCCGTCGGGAATTCGACGAAGCTGATGCCGGCCGTTTAAGTTTGATCAGTTTGATCATTATTGTCCAACACTTGGGCAGAAGTCACTGGCATCTATCTGCCAGTATCTGCCAGTGCTTTCTTCAACGTAAGCTTTTAGCGCCCGGAGTCCAGTCGGTGTTGCTTTGCCACAGAAAAGTGGTTGAGCAAAGCATTGCAGATGGGTGCATTGTTCTGGTATTGCATGTGTGAAGTGTAATGAAGTGTAGAGCGGGTGTGCACCTTGCAATGCTGTATGCTCTGCGCGTAGTGGAGATACATTGGACTATGTGGAGCCTTGCCCGCCTTGTGCAAATGTGAGCTTCGAAACCCGAAACCGCCGGCTGAGTCTTCCAGGCTCGAGGAGGAAGTGCTGGGCAAACGCTGATGGGGGATGCGCCAGGCGTTGGAGGCCCTGTTCGTGGCATTCTTACGCCCGGTTGTGGACAGTTGAGTGAAGGGTCGCTTGTTCGTGAGCCGATGGCGCCTTCGTTCACGTTTGAGAGCTTGCCATACCACATATCGCGTCTGCGCAGCCGTTCACCGGCTCCAATCTCAGGGTTCTCGCAGCTAGGGACACCCGGCCTTCAAGCCGAGGGGCCTGCACTGCAAATCCTGTGCCGGGGACTCTGCAAGGGTGCAGTCGGGATGTCGCACGGGAATAGACAACTTGAGCGGATTCAAAGTTCTCGTAGAAAGCGAGCATGACCACAGCTGGCTGAGCCGACTGAGTAGACTGTGAACATACACAACGTGTCCGGAGGCATGTAGCAAGACAGAGACCCTCAGCCCAGAGTGAGCAGAAGCTGATGTGTAAGGAAAGAGAAGGCGGAAAGCCTTGATCGAGCCGGCGAAGCCCAGTGCTCTGGAAAGCCACTGCATTGGGACGAATCTGGCAGTTTCACAGTCGGACCGCAGCACCTGATGCAAGCGAGCACTGATTTTGACAAGTATAACTTGCACACACCGCCCACCGCCCCCGCCCTCTGGAAGGATTTACCGAGACTCAGCTGCCCATCATGGGCCTTGTGGGCTTCAGACGGAAGGTCTGCATGTTTACCGGATCTCCCATCGCTTTCGAAAGTCGGTTTCCCGCACAGGCTTTGTTACGGAGCTTGAAGCCGTCCGAAAGAAGGAAGATCAATGCCGTTTGCTCACTAGGCGGAGGGTGCTCTTTGCATCTCTGGACTTGCCGACGCGCCCTGCTCCGAAGGCTTTGCATTTGCTTTGACGCTCTTGGGCGCTGTCCAGGACTTGCTTTGGGAGATTTGGGAGCCCACCACCCCGCAAAGATGCCCCTGCTGCTTACGAAGACATGCCCTTCTCAATATGTTGCAGGAGTTCAGAGAGACGCCTAGCAACCTGGCTTCCCCTATTGCCCCTGAAGTGCATGTCGGAGCTAGCTGCCTACTGTAGCCTGCCTAGCGGCCTAGCCTGCCTAGCTCTCACACATGTTGGGCATGCCGACTCGTCTCCATGCTGGGGCTGCACTGTAAGCATCGCGCGCATCTCACTGACTGCAGGTGTTGATCGCAGATTAGCTGGCAATGGCACCGCAACGGAATCACGGCACTTGCGTTTGGTAGAGCTCCATCTTGGCGAGCGGCAGGGTTGGGATCCGCTTTGGCGAGATCGACATGCGATCTCAGGATCCTCCAAGTCTGTATCCGCCGGACTTGTTCCTGGATCGGCCCTATGGAGAAGAACCAATAGGCTCGATCAAAGGGTGTGCAGCGATGAGGCTCCGCATGCCAAGTGTCTGTACCCAAAATTCACGGTGCCTGGAAGGGAAGAGATTCTTCGCTCTCTTGCATTGTCTTGGCATCGCCCCAGCCTCAGCAGTGGCTTGGCGTGGAGTTGTCCTGCCCGGCCTACAATTGAACCTAAGGCATACATGGTGCTGGGATTGAACACGGTTTGCGACGTCTACTTCGCTGGGTCCATTGATGTTCTCTGTGAAGCCTGGAGCTTGACGCCTGACGTCGCAGGAGTTCCTTGACAGGAGATCATCGGTTGTGCCCTGTAACAAGCTGCACGGAATTTGCTATAACATGTTCATGTTGCAACGTCGAAGACTTGCGCAAGCTTGGCGGCCCCGGCGTACAGAATGCGTCGAAGTCCTGCATGAGCGTATCCCCCTCTTGAAGGCAACATGGATGGCCGCGGGGGGTTCGGCTCCAGAATTCTTCACTTCCATGATCGGTGCAACCATTGCAGCTCTGCGGGCATTCAGAACTTTGAACGGCAGCCAAGTCTAAGTGCCGCTGATGTCGCGCCTCGCCTGTGCGCGATTCATGTAGTGGTTTGTGATCAATGCTAGTTTCAGACAGCCAAGGCACAGAATGATGTGGGATTCGGAACCATCGTGGGTTCTGCGGTCTTCAACGTGCTTTTCGTCATCGGCCTGCCTCTTGCCATGAAGAGCTCAACTTCTGCAGTTCAACTCATTGGATTGACAACTGGCGGCAGGTGCGGATACGTGGCAAAGGGGAACATTGAGCTCACATGGTGGCCTTTGTTCCGGGCATCTCGCCGGGATCAGAATTTGTCAGCTATTTCCAGGCTTCTCATCCAGGGAGAAAGGCAGGGCAGGAGGATAAGAAAAACCACTGAGAACCTGGGGCTCGCTGCCCGACTGCAAGTTTCTAAGTGCCCATAAGTTCTTTGTGGGGATGCTAGTCAGTTGTCTGCGCGGCAGTCTGCTGTCAAAACCATGGAATGTTATGCTTGTGTATCTGGTGGTGGAGTGTATCACATGGTGCTTGACAGCCGGTTCCTGTGTCTAACAAGGGCATGGGGATCTCTCTACTCTGGTGATATGTGCCATAGTGACAGTTAACGAATGACCAGGATCGCTACAGACCTTGCCAGGCTTTGTCCGAGTGTGAGTGTCAAAAAAAGTGCCCATAAGTGACGAATGAAAAAGCATCCCCGGCTGGGGTCGATGGAAATTGCTCGTACCGGGGAGCATCCACGCACGAAAGACAAAGTCGGTGCGAAGGGGCCTCACTGCTTCCATCTGAGAAATCGCATCCTAGCCTTGAAACTTCAGCCAAGGATTGCTCCTACTATATCTTTTCCCTCGCAGTGCTGGCAACCTTCACATACAACCAGATCATAGAGGCATGGGAGGCCGGGCCGGATGTGCATGAAGACATTTTGTTTCATTATTGTAGGTCTGACGGGTCGTTCATCTTTGACTCGGCATAAAGTGGGCGCTGTGTGCGAGTGTCATCTGCGTGGTCGCAGCACTACCGTAGACTGTACGTGCGCGAGTGTCAAAAACTCATGTGCAGGCAGCCATCCTGTTCAGCTTGTACATAGGCCGGGGGTGTGCTTCAAGATCTTCTGTTATCTTCTGCATCGGTATGTTGGGAATTGTCGACCATTGGACGAGTGCGCTTGCGGAGCATGACTGTGTAGTCACCGCCAAGACCTTTTGTCCAGTGGCTCAATCATGTTCCGAATCTCGGAGCTGCGCCGACATGTTCAGCCCACAGACATGCTTCCAGGCTACGTGAGCTTCATGTTCTTCAACAAGCCGCTGAATGTTTGGGCGTACCGCGGCTCAGTCGTTCCTGCACGTAGGTGTAAACCAATCCGCTCGACATATTGCACAGGATGTGATAACGGCAGGCCATTCAAGAGGTCCTTCTTTGAACATCGGTTGGCCAAGGTATCGCAAGACCGGGACTCCACTCAACAAGGAATTGCGTGAGTATGTGGAGGAGATGAATAAAGCCAAGGGCAAGGTGGAGCCCGAGAAAGTTGGAAGCAGCACCGAGAAAGATACTCCAGAGATGCAGGCTGTTTAACCTATGAGTTTGTCATGCATCTTTCGCCAGAAAGACACTGGCAGTCCTTTGTCGTTGAGGAGCCAGAGACAAGAGAGGCAAAGGACAACTACATGCAGTCTGACACTGTCGTGAAGAAGGGAACGGCCGCTCTTGAGCAAGAGTGCAGTTTCTCCTTTCTGCAAAATGCATGCATTATGCTGGCTGAGGACAATGGCAAAACAGACATTGAGCTGGCAAAAGGGGACAAGGCAACCTGCTTTGTACGAGTCGATGTGAAAGCGAAGCCAGTGCGATGGCATGTGTCTGACAACCAGACCCTACCTGCAGAACGGATGCAGCCAGCCAACCGCAACTGCAGTGCAACTGTTCCTGCCAAACTGCCCAACATGTCACGCAGGATGCAAACGCAGACGGCGACGACGACGACGAGGAGGACGACGACGAGCCGGAGGACTTCATGATCATGCCTGAAGGCAGGATCTGGTTCCTGCATAAGTGCCCCTTTGTGCCCCTGAAGTGCACTGCCGCCTTTGAAGGTATTCTCGAACGTGTGCTGTGGGGGCTTTGCTTGCCCGTCTACATTCCTTTGTATTATACACTGCCATGGCCTCAGTCAGTGTGGCGACCTCAAGGCGGGCAAAAGCTCGGGAGTGGCTGGAAGTATGCTGCTGGAGTTTCCAGCAAAAACGTGCTGCAAATCCTGTGCGAGAAATGGCCAAACATTGAATCGGATGGCAACAGTAGCACCTTCCTGAAAGCTCGAGCGCCCCGTCATGTTGGAGCAAGACAGACTTTCCTGAGTTTTCCATAGCTGCCATAGCTCCGAGGCCTTGGCCATCTCAAGGCTCCAAGTGGTTTCTTGCGACCTTCTTCCTGTCCTTACTTTGGATCGGCGGCTTTTCCTTCCTGCTGGTCTGGTGGACCGACACTGCCTGCCGGCAGCACTTGAGACCTCGAGTAATGTAGCAAGTATGTCTCGTACTGAGGTCGCAGGGGTATTGACAGCCGGGACCCCAGTCTCAGCTGATTGCACTTACGAATCTAAAAACTCGAGACTGGACGTTCAAAAAGCAAGAACCGCTTCCATCTAGAGTGAGGGATTCCAAGGGCAGGATGTCTGGCAGGATTCCCCCCCGCATCCCATCAGTCGTTTAGATGTCGCGAGTAGCATCAGTGAGAGCAGCGCACAGAAAGGTGGACAACTGAGACTTCCGCTGTTTTGGGTATGGAGTTTTAAGCTGCCAGCTTAAATGATCCATCCCCGGGTTCGGAGCGCAGCTCCTCCTGCAGATCCCCATCATTGTCTCCAGCGCCACGTTTTTGGCCGCAGCGACATCCATACCTGATGCTGTGAGCTCCATGGCGGTCGCTCGAAAAGGCCAGTTCGCTCGTTTGCAGCATGTTGCGAACAGTCCTGCGCATGTTTTGGTCAGAATCCTCGTTTTGGATGCTTTTGCTGCTCCCCTCTGTCAGGACAGGCAGATATGGCTGTCAGCTCATCTGTTGGTTCTAACATTTTCGACATCCTGGCCGCTCGGCAGACTGGCCCCTTCGTTTCATGCACTGACCGGGCTAAGTAAATCGTCATGTCGAGAAGCTTCAATGTCCAACGGTC